TCTTCTTTTATCGTCAAATTCATTATTTGAATATAATGAATCTTCATTATATTGACAAATGAAATGGTTAATATGGTTAATGTATTTCTTTAAATTAAACTCATCACTGAAGTCAGTTTAATATTGTTTTTTTAATATGGTTAATATGGTTAAATAGATTAGGAATATGTATTTTTTAATAACTACCAAATGAACTTCTAATATTTTTGTTTAACTTAGCACATGAAAAAATAAGTTTTCAAAAAAAGCCTTTCAAGTTTGAATGAAAATATGACACAAACATATTTCAAAAAGGATGAATATTAAAAAACCTACCTTCGAAGTTTAAAACAGAAGATAATTGATAACTGTCAGAACATGAAAATGAATATGTAAGCTATATTAACATGTTCATTTGACAACACTGTATTTAAAAATAATTATCTGAACCATGTCATTGTGAATTTAAATTCATGCTATATTAGTTATATTAACAACACTAATGTATATGATATGTTGTATACTTCATATATAAAAATTATATTGAAAATTAAATATTAATATAAGAACCGAATAATGCTCAATTCGTTTAAAGTTTAAACCTAGAGAATATATTGGTTTTAACCAATGTATTCTCGTTTGGTATATTTACCAACATAATGTCTATTATTATTATTTTGTATCATTAATACAAAAGTATGGATTAGGAAAAAGTGTGTAACCTTTTCATCCATGAAAATCATTTCAATGGATTTGATGGCTCGATTTTTCTCCCCAAAAAGGGCATTCCATTTCCGAGTGACTCTCACCAGGATTGCTTGGTAAGTTCTTCACAATGTCTCCCAAATACACCTTCTTAGGTGGCATTGTTCCTATAAATGAAGTACATGAGAAAGATAATTAAAAAGTAGAATTCGATCATGAAGTGGTTGAGAAAGTTAAAAAACATGAATAAATTTAGAAAATATGAAAAAGTAATATATAAGATCACAAGAAAGAATAATTAATTTAACAATCAGAAACGTCATAGATAAAAGAGAATCATTGAATAATCCGATAGTCCTGCTAATGATAACTATCATAATTCAATAATCTTACTCTTACTCGATAAAAGAACATGTAGTTTATTTGCAATAAGATTTTTATAATAAATCTCGTATTAAAAAGATGTTGCTTTACCTAGATTAAGATGATCATTATCATTAATTAAATAATTTAGTCGGCCATCTTTTTTCTTTTTTAATTAAGCAATTAATTAAAAATAACATAAATAATATATAAAAGATAATCATTGAATAAGTGGAATGACTCCTAATGATAAATATTAGAAATTTTTTATTAACAAATTAAAAAGTGACAATCTATCCAGCCACACTTTATCATTATTCATTAAATAATTAATAAATACTTTCATATAAAATCTCAAAAAATGATTTATTAGTATAAAAATCACAACAGAATATATAAAAGAGGATGAAAAAGAAAGGCGAAACATCTCAAGTCTGTTGAATATACTGATTTTCAAATATTTCCATACAAAACCAGTTTCAAGGACACACCCACACATTAAGAAACCAATAAAATAAGGCATGACATAGTATTCTTCAATTTTTTCTAAAGAATCCAGTATGCTAACGTTAACTCTAAAAAATTAAAAAAAAAGATCTATCACACCTTAATCACATAAGCTGCATAAGATCTCAATCTAATAGATGCTAAAGCAGATTAAAACAATCTGTTTCAAACCGAGTATTAAGGAATTTAGAATACTCAAACAGATCATAATTTTTTAAATGTTCTTATTCAAACTTTAAAACTAAACAACCCAAGCTCAAAAGTTCTTATTCTCGGAAGTGAAATGCATATTTAAAAATGATAAACTTCAGCTGAATCTAATAGATGCTAAAGCAGACTCAAAACATTAAAAATTAAAAACCCAAGCTCAAAACAATCTGTTTTCATTACATCACATGAGTTCCTTTAATTTATCATACTAAATGATGTTTGAAAACAATCTGTTTCAAACCGAGTATTAAGGAATTTAGAATACTCAAACAGATCATAATTTTTCAAATGTTCTTATTAAAACTTTAAAACTAAACAACCCAAGCTCAAAAGTTCTTATTCTGGGAAGTGAAATGCATATTTAAAAATGATAAACTTCAGCTGAATCTGATAGATGCTAAAGCTGACTCAAAACATTAAAAATTAAAAACTCAAGCTCAAAACAATCTGTTTTCATTACATCACATGAGTTCCTTTAATTTAACATACTAAATGATGTTTGAAAACAATCTGTTTTAAACCGAGTATTAAGGAATTTAGAATACTCAAAGAGATCATAATTTTTCAAATGTTCTTATTCAAACTTTAAAACTAAACAACCCAAGCTCAAAAGTTCTTATTCTGGGAAGTGAAATGCATATTTAAAAATGATAAACTTCAGCTGAATCTAATAGATGCTAAAGCAGACTCAAAACATTAAAAATTAAAAACCCAAGCTCAAAACAATCTGTTTTCATTACATCACATGAGTTCCTTTAATTTGTGTATTATATTCATCATAGAATTCACACACGGGCAGTTGCAATAGTCAATCTAATAGATGCTAAAGCAGACTCAAAACATTAAAAATTAAAAACCCAAGCTCAATACAATCTGTTTCATCATATATTCATCTAATGAAAAGCTTAAAAGGAATTTTTCAAATGTTCTTATTCAAACTTTAAAATTAAACAACCCAAGCTCAAAAGTTCTTATTCTGGGAAGTGAAAAGCATAGTTAAAAATGATAAACTTCAGCTGAATCTAATAGATGCTAAAGCAGACTCAAAACATTAAAAATTAAAAACCCAAGTTCAAAACAATCTGTTTTCATTACATCACACGAGTTCCATTAATTTGTGTATTATATTCATCATAGAAATCCAAAACAATGTCAAATACTACTCTCTAGCATGGGATGGTGAGTGAACTGCATTTTTTGAAGTAGTAGTTCTATCTAATGAAAAGCTTAAAAGGAATTTTTCAAATGTTCTTATTCAAACTTTAAAAATAAACAACCAAAGCTCAAAAGTTCTTATTCTGGGAAGTGAAATGCATATTTAAAAATGATAAACTTCAGCTGAATCTAATAGATGCTAAAGCAGACTCAAAACATTAAAAATTAAAAACCCAAGCTCAAAACAATCTGTTTTCATTACATCACATGAGTTCCTTTAATTTAACATACTAAATGATGTTTGAAAACAATCTGTTTTAAACCAAGTATTAAGGAATTTAGAATACTCAAACAGATCATAATTTTTCAAATGTTCTTATTCAAACTTTAAAACTAAACAACCCAAGCTCAAAAGTTCTTATTCTGGGAAGTGAAATGCATATTTAAAAATGATAAACTTCAGCTGAATCTAATAGATGCTAAAGCAGACTCAAAACATTAAAAATTAAAAACCCAAGCTCAAAACAATCTGTTTTCATTACATCACATGAGTTCCTTTAATTTGTGTATTATATTCATCATAGAATTCACACACGGGCAGTTGCAATAGTCAATCTAATAGATGCTAAAGCAGACTCAAAACATTAAAAATTAAAAACCCAAGCTCAAAACAATCTGTTTCATCATATATTCATCTAATGAAAAGCTTAAAAGGAATTTTTCAAATGTTCTTATTCAAACTTTAAAAATAAAAAACCCAAGCTCAAAAGTCGTCAAAAAACAAAATTGGAATATATACCTTGAATTCACACACGGGCAGTTGCAATAGTCCAGTCTCCTCGCTTGTCTCCGACTATCCTTTCGTCGGTTGGATTTCTGTAAACCCAGGTAGCAGGACGGCAGGCACGAGTTATCAGAAATAAGTGAACGATAAATACAGAAAAAGAAGAATTACAAAATACCTTGTGTGGAGCGAGAGTATGAACCGCATCGATCTTCATCTGTATATATAGTAGTGAAGATATTATTCTGAGTTTGAGGTATTGAAGAATTCTACTTTGGGTGAAATTCTGAGAAATGTGGAGATGAAGAATTGTAGTTTTGGTGAAATTGTAGGAACTGCGGCCGTTTGGTGCGGAGATGAAGAATCGTAGTCAGGGTGAATGTCTGAGAAGAGCGGACGTTTGGTGCGGAGATGAAGAAGCGTAGTTAGGGTGAATGTCTGAGAAGAGTGGCGTTTGGTGCGGAGTGGCGTTCGGTGCAGAGACTTGTGCGGATAAGTCAAATTACGAAATGGGCCAAACTAATTGCGGAGACTTTGTGCGGATAAGTGAAATTAGGCATAGGCGGGAAATATTTTGTTTAGCACGTAGTGCTTTTAGGTATAGGATTTGAGCTCCAATAGGAAAGTGGGTGTTAATGGTTTATAAGGAGTATGAAAGTCGAAGTGGGTGTTATTGTTTATTTTTATTATTTATTTGAGTTATTTGAACAATGGTGCAACAACAATGTATGCAGAGTAGTGAGAGTACGTTATTATTGATTACAACCATATAAGTTCCGTTGAAAATTATACAGAGTATTTGCTAACTCATAATGTTGAACCGGCCTTCTGAAAATGGAGGGCGTATCACACATTGCCTATTTTTTACATTTCCAACTCAGCATTACCACAAAAATAGACTCCCAATGGATAGTATTTTTTATCTCAATGACTATTTTGTATATGTGGCAATGCATTTTTTAACAAATCACATTGTCACTAAAGATACTCTTAGAGCATCTTCAATGCTCTTAGTGCATTGGTGATGAAGTGTCAAAAAATGGATTAGGTCTATTTGATATGTGAATCAAGATTTAATTAAAAGGGAGGGTCTATCAAGATAATATTCCGATACAAAAACAAAAACAATTAAATAAAGAAGAGAAAAGTTTCATAATCCAAGATTCACAAATGAACCTTAATGGGTGTCCTAGACCTTAATCCATTTTTTCAATTTTCATGTCATCTAGACTTGTTCTATATTATATTGCATTGGAAGTGAGATTTATCTCAAAAGTGAAATTGATGATATCAAACTAAGATGGACATGCCTAAAGATGATCTAAGGTTGCAGGTTCTAGCAATGGGGCGTCGTACAAATAATAAAAGTACAGTAAAATTGAAGCATGTCTATACATAATGGAATTTCGCGGTATAAATTGGCTATGGCGCGCGAAACCAAAGGCATGGAACTCGCATTGCCTAGTGGCTCTCTGGCCTCTCGTCCTCACACCAATGTTTCCGTTATGCAAAAAGTCAAAAACTCGATCAATCTTCTCAGTTTTATCCAATGCGCAATTTCGAATCCTCCAGGCAAGGCTACTACGTAGACCGGAGAAGGTTGATCGGCGATGTCATGGCTACGATCGGCGGTGAGCAAAGCTGTGGAAGTCGGCGGAAACGGGAACATCACTCGCAACCTTCGCAGCTATGCGGGATCCGTTGTCCAGCATGCGGGTTACGCCGGCTTCGACGATTCAAAGAAAATTCACGACCGATCTGTAAATCTCTCCCGCTCTCTCGTGTTTCTCTGTGCGTTCTTGTTACCCACACTACACTATAATTCATGCTCGTCTGCCCGAACTTTTGAAATACCACACCTGTTTCAAAATGTTATTGACACTTCATGCAAATCTCAACCATATACAAAGGGGATAGAAGCAAGGAGGACGGGTGGAGGAACAATAATAATTTAATACACTACAGAAAAGGTGTTTTCTTTAATACGTAGTTACAGACAGATGGTTCAGATGTTTGGATTTATACGAATAACATTTTATGAATTGATTGATAGGGATTCAGAGGAGCTAGCTAGAAATTCACTGATTTTTCTGTCAAATTAAACATAATCTGGTCTCGAGTGGAGCATTTCATTCGAAATTAATAGTCCAGCTGTCCAATTTTTGAATGACTACTTTTTAAGATAGTATCCAGCCTACGTGGATGTTAGTATATGTCATATTGTTAAAAATCACGTCCTCTGTTAAAAAAGAAAACTACAGTTTCTAGAGATCCTATGAATAGGCGAATAGCCGTAGACCCTAGTCATGTGGAACATGCTCTAATCTGAACTAGTTTTTGTTGAGAATGTGCGGTAGTATTATATTCTTGTCTTTCACTGTAGGATGATAATGAGTCAAAGTGATTAGTAGTTATGATTAGTTCATGATCGTATATGTGACTTTAGTTTTGGACTGAACCTCAATCCAATGACCTCAACTCCTCAAGAGATCATCTCTTGGTTCTCGTGGCTGACCTACTGATTTTAGATAAAGATTATGTTTTTGTACTAATAGAAGCTGTAGAAGTAATTTCTTTAGTTTATTTCTCCTATTGTGTGTGTTTAGCCTTTACTAAATGATTGACAATTTTAGGGTCCCGGAAACATCAAAAGCTTTAAGCATGCTTTGAAAAGATTAGAAGAACAGTCAGTTTCTTGCAGAGGTATAGAGAGACTTCAGCAACTACGCAGGTGGTTAGTTGCTCTTAAAGAGATTGAGAGATTGCATGAAGCTAAAGCAGAAGCAGGGAAAAACATTGAACCCCTAGATATATCCATCTCAAAGAAGGATCTTCCTAAAGAACCTACTATGGTAAGTAAGTATCATCTACTCACAATCTCACATGTGCTACTTTAATTGCTATGGATCAATTCTTTCCTACAGGAAAAGTGTTTTAAATATGACATATATGCTGGTACTAGCCATGACATGTGATAGTGGTGCACGTGCTTTGTTGCTTTGTAGATTTTTTTTTGTTGAATTTTAAACTAAACTTATGATGCAAGAGGTCAAGAGATATGATGAAAAATGTTGCTTGTGTTCCAATTGTTAGTACTGTAGTCTTTATAACAACATTCCATTCTTGACTATTCCCATTAAATAGTGCCTTTTCTAAAAGCATGCATGAAAAGGTAAAGAGGAAGAAAGAAAGTTGAAGTTACCAGCGGGCATAGCTCACCTGGTAGTAAGATGGTGCCACAAGGGAGAGATCCCAGGTTCAATGCCAAGCAATGACTTGGGGTGGAACCCCACTCTCTTTCCATCAAAGCTCAACTTACGTCTTCCCAGATAACTCTGCGGTCGGTTCAGGGGAGGCCCTCAAGGATGGAGTGTCATCTTTTTTTCTTCTAAGAGCATGCATGAAAAGTTGAAGAGGGAGAAGGAAAGCAATTTTCCCCATCTTCACAGTAAAATGTTTTTCGCAACCATCTTACCATCCATTTTTGTTAGCTTGATTGTTTGACCTGTGATTTGTAATGCTTGTCAGAGCCCTAGTTGTACCTCTGAGAAAAGTTAATGAACTACCATTTTATATTCTTGATTTAGCTAAGCTCTTATATTTACTTCTTAATATATAACGAACAGGTTTTATATCATGATCCTGATCTTGGTGGGGAACCAATGAATTTTAAAGACTTGTTTCTTCGCAGTCAAGCTCTTGAAGGCATCGTCTTGTCTGTGGTAGGCTGAACACATTTTAGAGCTTTTACAAGTATGATCATTTGATAATTTCTCTGCTAGTGGGCACCAGTATCCCTTTCCCATCTTGAGATCCTTTTGGGAATGCAATAGGCCGAGCTACAATTTAGTGACTCTTGAGGGTGGATGAAGGTTTTATCTTTGTTTTGTTGGTTTATTCTATTGCAATTTCTTGAATGTTTTTGCACTACACACCAGCTAAGTAAATCATTTGGAGCATGTGGGAGGATGATGGAAGAGACTATAATCCAAGTCAATCTCTATTCAAGTCTGGTCCATTTACAAAGATACCATTATTCTTTAATGCCATTCATGAAACTTGAATCTATGAGAACATATTTCATCTCCTTTTCTCCTCACATGATTTAGTTGTAGTTTATTTGATTTCATTTTCACATAGTAATTGGCTAGGACAGTAGTCAGTTTTTAATTCCTTTTAGGTTCACATTTGATTTGATTCTCCTTTTCCTGTTCGATGTAACTGCTGGTTAAATGTTTCATTTCATTTAGATTCTTGAAGCACCAGATGATGAAGAAGTGTCATTGCTTACAGAGATCTTTGGGTAGTTCTTGTTCATCTCTTTTGTTTTAAATGCTCTCTTTTACTTGGTATAAATCAAGGGTCTCAGGAAGGAATCTGACATGTTGGCTATATTGTGTTTTTACTTCTTTGGTCTTTTCCTTGAATGTACAGACTCTGTCTTACTGGAGGGAAAGAAGTCTGTGATGCAACAATAGCTAGCATAGAAGCCCTGGCTAAAGCTTTCTCAAGCTATAATGATGAATTATTGGTAATGGAAGAAGAAACCTTAATGATGTCATTTTACTTAAGGCGCGTTTGGCTATTTTATGTAATATGGCGTCAAGAAGCACTTGATAAATCTTAAAATACTCCCAAAAATGCTAAAGTCTAGAAACTACAAATTGTAGCCTCTTGAATCGTGTTTGACGTTTTTGCTATTACGGATCAAAATAACCTCTATTAAACTTTTTTCTGCAATTTAAAAATCGTTTTATACAATATACATATTCAAAATTTAATTTTCAAAGCACCTTCTAAATAAAATTTTATCAAACAGCAATCAAAGCACTCAATCAAAACACTTTTTTGAAACCAATGTTTTTAAACAAAAAAACACTTTTTGAAAACACAACTTGTTTAAACAACAAAACACATTTTCAAATCCCTAACAGAAACACCCAATTTACTATCTTCATACTTTGTGGTTAATTGCTTTGTTCTGAAGATATCAGGAAGTTAAGAAATTTGCTCACTTCTCTCCGTTATCTCAGGCAAAGAAGGAAGACCTACTTCTATTTGCACAAAGTGCAATTGCTGGGCTCAAAATAAATGCTGACATAGCAAGGTTGTTAGAGACACAATATCACTATTTTCTGGTTCATGTGTTATATGGAATTTGTGATACCCAGGGAATAACTGAGCCATTTTAAACAGCTAATAACAGGGCTAGTTATCAATTTTCCTGCCTTTGGTACTAATGCAAAACTACAATCATAATTTTTTTTATATTTACTGTTTCATGGTCTCTGCTCAGAATAGACTCTGAAGTCTCAAACATACAACAGGACCTGCACAAAATGCAATGCTGGCCACCTTCAAAGGAAGTTGGAAAATCATGTGGGTCTTCTACAGAGATAACGGAGGCAAGTTATTTGCAATTGCTATTATTATGCTTTATACTTCTACCAGCTGAATAAGAAGTACCATACTGCCATATATAGTGGCTTAGCATTGTGAATCCCTAGCTTGAACCTGGTTCTAGAAATTCGCACAGAGCTGAGACTGAGAAAACGTAATTTATATTCTTCTTTGAGGATGATACTTTATATATATATATATATATATATATATATATATATATATATATATATTTATTCACCAGTGCAGTTTACAGATTGTCTAAACTTGATCTTGCTATGCAGACTTTGAAAGAAGAACTTGCTCAGATACAACTATTTTCCAAATTGGAGTCACTTTTATTACAGGAGAAGATTTTGCTCAATAGAAGTGAACCAGGAAGCCATTTTCAAAAGGTTTGGCATCTAAATAATGCATTACATTTCTTCGGGAAAGAATGGTTCACGAATAATCTTTGTAGTTATGATTACTTTGTATTTGATCTGTTTCAATCTTTACTCCCTTGCATGTCCTATATAACTTAAAAGAAATTCGGTACTTAGATATGGTTCCATTATTAATAATAACAGAAATGCCATTTTGGGTAATTTTCTTATTTTTGGGGGACTAATACAGTTATATTAAAACAATAATTTGGAAAGCAAATGAGCCTCCAAGTTAGAAAGTCAGAAGTGGCCTACCAACAATTGTTAGTTTGACAAAGAGTATTTTTATGTCCAAGGCTGAGATCTAACAACCAGAAGAGAGCAAGTGCCCTTGTGAATTTTCTGATCTATGTTTAATAGCAGAAAAGGTTGAAAAGCAATAATTCTTAAGTAGGAACTAATCTGAAGTCTGACCTAGTCTAGTCACTTAGTCACTAGACACTCAAAAAGTAATTCTTTCAAAAGTACTTTATTAAATAAAATTATGTTCCTTAGGTAGCTAATACAAGATTCCAGTTACTTAAGGAAACTAATGCTGAAATTAAGTAATTCAAGGCATACTAAATTGAAATATGAAAATAGCAACACATTCTAAAATAAGTCTGCCACTCTGCCAACTTTATTTGATGGATAGACTTAGGCTTGCTGCGCAAGCCTCAGCCACTTAGGATTCCATCCTGCATGCTTTTTCTGTTGACTGCATCGGTTGGGCCCCAAGGCATTTGCGTCGTTTATGATAAGTCTATCCTGTAAAAGCATCCCTAACACATCCGTTTAGTATTTATTTAAGTATAAAGAAGCAGTTCTGGAAATATTTCAAGACTACATTCTTTTACAGTTTTACTATCTTACATTCTTCAAAGTTTCCACCAATACGTTTGGTTACATGTAGGTTGATAAGTTAAAGGTTTTGTCAGAGTCCCTTTCGTGCTCTGCTTCAAAAGCTGAAGAACGCATTTCTGAGAGCAGGTTTGTTTCTATGTCTATTTCCTCTCTCAGAACTAAACATTTCATGAATGATTCTAAAGCAGTGACCTGAAATAGAGAATATGCAAAAGCTAGTAGTGAAAATTGAAATATGCAGAGTATGAATGAACCATGCATGCAGCATACTAGAATTGTTCATGGAAATGATGACCAAACATTTCTGTTTGGTTAATGCTTTATGTCTATATAAATTTGGTTTTGATAAAGTTTGTGCTACTCTGTATTGCTCTTCACTATTATAATTTGATACAAAAGATTGTGCTCTCCCATTCGTGAATGAAGAAGAAGGCCCATACAGGAGTGACATGTATACTGAAATGATGCACTCCTGGAGTCCTGGACTTTTAATTCTGCAAGCTACAATCAGATTTCTAGCCTTGCAAAATTAATATGTTGTACTTTGTAGGACCTCTTGGGCTTCATGGGAGTCGATTCCAGTCTGGTTAAAACCAAACAACCCCATGTAGAGTTCTTCGTAGCCAACACAAATGCTCAAATTACTGAATTCAGTGTGTGGTCATTTGCAATATAATTGATCGCTTTATATATATCTTTGTTTTTGTAATCGAACTGCTTGCTGAAAGTTAGTGTCATTCTCTCAACTTATATATGCTTTTCTCTAACCAGACTTCAGAGAGAAGGAGCACTTAGCTTTCGTATTTCAAAAGCGAATGAATTCTCCCATCTTGAAAAGGTGGTGTTCATGGATCTTTCTGGTGACAGATACTCTAGGATCCTTAACTACAATTGTTATTTTTTATAAAAGGAGATAGGTTTTAGGTCCTTAACCGCAATTGTTTTTTTTAGGAGCTGACAGTCAAAATTCATGAACTTGAGAAGCAAAAAGATGATCTTGAAGCTGAGTTGATAAAGGTACTTATGATTTCTCTGATTGTCCTTAGAAGTATGAACAAGTCACCTCAAGTTGAAGGAAACGGAAAAACTATTAATTCATAGTTCAACAATGCTATTGCTACAGTAGTTATTAGAAGTTAATGAAACATTGAAATAGTGACTTGAGAATGATTGCAAACTAGACTTGTTTTGCCTAATGAATGTGTGTAGGTAAATTGCACTTTGTCTTCTGCACATGCCCATCTACGCAATGCCAGGGAGGAAAGAGACCAGTTTAATGAAGCTAGCAATGAAATTATTCAACACATCCAAATGAAAGTATAATATCTTATAAATGCATTCTAGTTTTATCTTTAATTTTAATCTAACTCTGAGTTCTAACATTTTTCAATTACGTTGAATAATTAAAGGAGGAGGAGTTGTCTAGATCTATTGCATCATACAGAGCCGAGGCAGACGTTTGTGATGCATTTATTTACTTCTTAGAAGACACACAGGGATTTGAATCATCATATATTAGACAAAAAGAGAAGCATGTCAAGTATGGGGCTATTCTGATTTAATGGTTTTTATCCTTCCTTTCAGTATACAGCTTTGTCAGCATCTATTAGTAAATACATGGGTAGCTTCTTTAACCTGTGGAACACTATGTATGTGTACCATTACATACAGTGATACAGATACTCATGGATCATGTAGGATAATGCAAAATCTATTATGTCTGTTTTATGTTTTGTAAGTGAGGAACTGGAGAGGTGTGAAGATTATTTTGGGGATTTGGTGATCCGTGTCTTATCTGCATACCAGGTATGTGGTTATTTCTTTTGGAACTCTAGTGTTGTTTGATAGACTGTAATACCATGTAATCGAATGTATTAATTTACATTATGCACACACAGGATTGCATGACATTACATCTTATGAAACTACAGCTAAGTGTTTTTGTTTTCAATATCTCTATAATATCTATCTCAATATCATGGGTACTTGTGTGGTTTATGCTTACAATTTATCAGGATGAGCTAAGGCCTTCTATTTTGAATGTCAAGAAACTTGCAGAGGACTTGATAGGGTATTATTGCTCATTACTGCTTTTGAAAGAGTATGATAATTGAAGAGAATTAACTATGTTACTATGTTCGGACTACCAGGTCAGAGATCATGGATACTGCTCCAAACAGAGATAATAAGAGTGCAGTGGATGCAAGACGACGGCTAGAGGAGGAATATCTGAAAGCAGAAACCAAGGTATTAATGTTATGCGCTGCAGTCTAGCACCATTCAACTGCTCCTCTGTTCGTTATTCGTTCTTTAATCCTTCGTTCTCCTTTCTTCCCCTTTCATGATCATTGTAGTTAATAACCACATTCAGTGTTGTGGAAAGCATTAAAAAGCAGTTCTATGCGCAAACTGAAGGAATTTCAAGGTAATATGATGCTGCAGGCTTTATTATCACCCTACTTTCACCAGAAAGTGGTCAAAGTAGAGTTTTATTCATTTTCCACTTTGGATCCACCTCTCATCTCTCATTGTAGTTTACTTCAGTCTAAAGTAATTAAGTTTAATCCAGGATGTTTGTTATGATGGAATACATTTACTTTTCATGGAAGGTATATCATTAGAAACACATATTGAGTTTGTGTGGAACCTGAAAGCGATCAAAGTTAGGTTAAACTTCCTTTACATTCCACGGGTGTGAATGACTAGGGGAAGGCGGGGAAGGGATTCCAATGGAAAGTGGATTAAATTCAACTCTGAGCACATTTCACCCGACTAAAAATGTCTTTGGTTCGTGATAGAAATAAGTTTGTGAATTCTATCATTTTCAATTGGAGTAAGCCAAATGGCTCACTAAATTGTGTGCTCTTCTTTGTGTTATGAAACAGCAGTCAGTCCATGCAATTCCCGATGTGATTTTCATCATGGGTCATCTGAAAACAGTTTTTTTGTGCTTTAGTATAAGAGTAAGATTTTGCGTACATCCGACTCCCCTTACCCTTCCGTAGGTGGGGAGCCTTTGCGGCACTGGGGTAATGTTGTTGTTGTATAGAAATAAGTTTGTGGGAATTGATGTACTTTCCATGGGGAAGTAATCAAATTAGACCATACTGAATCCTCTCCATGACTCCATTTTATTCCACCACCATTATTACTATGACTATAAGGGAACTAAATAAAAAATAATACTACCTCCGTCCCGAAATAATCGTCCTGGTTTGACCTTCACACAGATTAAGAAAGTGAAGTTGACTTGACACTGTAGCGACACTATTTGGCAATGCAGCGACACTATTTGACACTGTAGCGACACTGTTTGGCACTGTTTTGCACTGTTTGACACTGTTTTTTATAGATTTGTTTACCAAATAAGGAAAGGAGACAATTATTTCGGGATGGATCGAAAAGGAAAGCAGAATAATTATTTCGGGACGGAGGGAGTAATGATTAGTGTAACCACCACTTCATTTATGTTTCCTAAAAATATAGTAATGAAAGGGGAAGTTAGAGAAAATCTCCAAACCCCAGTACGACGGGCAGTATTCAAAGGTCGAGAGAGAATTAAATTGAGCTTTACTTTATCTTAAATGCATTGGTGTTCATCATCATCATCAGCATTACCCCAGTGCCGTCGCTCCCATTTACGGTGGGGTAGGGGGGTCGGATGTAGGCAATCTTAAATGCATTGGTGTTAATCGAACAAAATTTGTAGAGCTAATTATTCTTTTCCAAAACCAGTTGACCCTTACATTCATGCAAAAAACAAGGTGACAAGGTCTTATATATGTTCGTTGGTCTCCCTGTTGCAACCTTCTAAAGATTGAAGGATGAGATTAATTTCCAAAATCGTTAACATCATAGGTAGTCTCCATTTCAATGAAAAATGTCATGAAATTATGTCACTACAATGAATTTGAGTTGTTATACCTACATCCATTTGCAATATCATGCACATCATGTAAAGCAAGCCTCTCCTGTCCAGGAAGGATTATGAAAATGTGAATCAACAATTTGAAAGTCTGGGAACGATCAAAGAAGAATTTGAATCCATCAACAGACCATCTCTGGAAGTTGAAACTCCTAGTAGGAGATCCAAACCATTAAAGTTGATGTCGGAACCCAACACCCCCCCATCTTTCAATCAAAACGTAGAACCCGTCACCCCTGGATCACCTCTGCAAAATGAAAGAACACATAGATCCCTGATGAGAGGGAGTCTGAGAAAGAGTTTATCTATGGCTATACGTCAGACAAACGACGCAGTAAGCTTTGCCCGAGGAGAAGAGGGTTTCGTGTCCCAAAAAATCCTGAGAACAAAGACAGTGGATCCAGCTGCGCAACTCTCAAAGCTGAAGATGGAGTTGGAACTTGAGAACAGTACCAGAGACCAATCTTTCGACGAAATTTATGACTGGGAATCTGATGTAAATGATAAAGAGAGGATACACGTTGGTGAATGAGTTCTTACCATTGTTTTTTTACCCGTGACCAAATTGTGTTACTCAAGGTTAGTATATGCTTTATCAATATCGCACTCTTGGAATTTATTACTTTATATGTTTTAAATTTGAATAATGCATTCAATATTTTGTAGTGAAGAAGAAGACTGTTTAACAGCTGAGGGACACTTGCTGACATGTCCCATACATGCATGCATGCATGTATTCTCTGCTCTAATTCAGAATTCGTCTTAAATATATATATATATACTCCTACCTAGTAGTATATTATTATATCCAATTTTGATTAGGAACAAGTGCAGAGCACGTAAGAAAAGGTTATATCTTGAGGAATTTCCATTCTTACATTTGAATTCTATACGAAGTATTTTAATGCTCCCCTATTTTTATATAGGGGTAATTTGAGTTTGCACGTATTGTTGTCCAAATTAGAATTTGCACCCCATTTTTAAAATTTTTTGTTTTTGCACTCTAACCCCATATCAAAAGACAAAAAGCCAGTGATATATATAGATTTCAGTTAAAATTCTTGATCAGCGGATTGGGTCATTCTGAAACCTGATCTGGACCATATCCATCCTGGTTATAAGGTATGGCCTAAAAGTGAGAGAATGATGCCAAAGACAGTGGGGGGCAGGTAGAGCAAAGAAACTAATATGGGGGTCAAAGTCAGAAAGTGCTGTCCCCTTTGAATTTTGTCAGCTGAGATCATGTGAGCAAACTGATAGAGTGATAGGCGATACATTTCATTAAAAAAATCTGTAAGGAGCTTAAAAATCATTCAAACAGTTTCTAATATCAGTTACTACATTTTTGTTAAATAAAAATATTGCATTTTCATTAGTACAAAGTATTTAGTAGTCCTCATGTAATATACCTATGTCCGTATGGTACGTTTGTACTACCTGGATGCATTTTCTGGTCAATAGTTTGTGGTATGCTTAATGCTTATACTGTCGTCACAAAAGGAACGTTTTTTTACCCGGTTCAAGTCCAAAGAATCCAAATATCCTTTGGGGTAGGGGCCAGGAAAAACCCTACCTTTTATTAGAATATTAGAATGAAAAAAAATTACAAAGAGTAGGAGGATTAGACGAAAGTATGTTTTGCTTTCTGTTTTACAAAACTTATAGTAGATTTTTCATTAAGTGCTTCTGTTTGTATTTAAGTACCTTAAAGTTAGAACTTTGTAAGTAGCGAGAAATTTATTTTTAAAGTGCTTTTCAAAATTCTAATAAAATTTTAAAACTAATTTTATCAAGTAGTTCAGTTTCTACTTTATAAATAATCACTTCTGTGATTCACTTTTACAAATAACCAATTTCCTTGCAAATAAAAAAATGCAACCAAATTTATTTAGAAAAATATACTATCGTATTAGAGTATGAACTACAAAGAATGTTGTGCGAGCCAGAGAAAAATTATTTGGCGTACATGTAATGTATACAAGTAATCATTTCTTGCTCGAACTCCCAAGTAATTTCTTATGATTTCCAATTCACCCATTCTAGAACAAACAATTCCCAAGTCCCAAGGATATCATTCTTTAGCTAAGATTTTCCAAATTCATCCCATCAGACACCTAAATTCTGAGTCCAAGATTAGGACTTGTAATATGTTGAAGTGGGTTGTGGGGTGGAAAATAAAATGTCCGATTCCAAGATTAAGTCATCTTCAGCCATCATCCACAGTATACATCAATCTTAAAGCCACTACGATTGAAAAATGAAGCATGGTGAGGTGTTGTTATAAGTTTGAGAGAAAAATTAGAGAGTAACTCTTGAGAGTTGAGAGTTTGGGTTTTTTGTAACTGTGTGAGTTTGGCTCATGTAATTCTATTTTGTGATAATTAGAATTTAGAAGTTGTTGAGACATATTACCCCGGCCTACCATTGTTCAGGAGTTCAAGACATTACTTAGCACGGAGCTCGATCAGTGAGGTTCGTTTAGGCCTATCGGGCCTGTATCGGCCCATCGTGGTCCATTAGGGTGGAATGCCTCCCCCCCTTTCCTATAAATAGGAGTCTTACCTCCATATGTAAAGGGCTCTTCTCTTTTCCTCCCTCTCTCTAAATAGCTAGCCTAATACTCCATTAATGGGAGCTTGTACAATGTATTGGTGATAAGAACATCAATAAAATGAGCGGGTTTGGACGTTAGCCTAAACAGTCTCGTGGTTTTCTCTCTTTCGGGTTTCCACGTAAAGATCGAGCGTTTATACCAAATTATATCTATATTCATTATATCATGTTGGATTAAACTCAATAGAAGTATTTTCTAATATTAACTAGTATTATCAAATTTGGTTGGGAAATTCGCAATATTCATCCCGTAACTTTCGGTTGTTATCATTATTAGTCTCGTAACTTTAGTCACTTGCAAATTCGGTCCTCTAACTAATTAATATTTGCGATTTAAGAACTTTTCCCCTGAAAAGTACACTTTCCGGCAATAGCATCCCGGAAAAGATGTCGCCGGCGTTGGACTTTTTTGCCGGAAAATGTACTTTCCGGTGGGAAAGTCCTTAAATTACTTTTGGACAATTTGGTTTAACTGACCAAAAATTTCAAAAATATTCTTGAGTAAAAGCATTCTTCTTCATGAATCTTCACCAAATATTAAAACAATATTAGAAGTTCTAAAAAAGAAAAAACAGAATTTGAATGTGATTAAAAATTGAAATAAAATTATCCCTTAAGATAAAGTTCACTTGACCCTACAAATATTCACCATAAAGATCAATATTGGTCCTGAGCATGAGCGACAGAGCTAGCGAGTGAGGGTTTCGCACATGCCCCCTACATTAGAGAGGCCCATAAAATTCTATATATGTATTTCTGAAAAATGAAAATTTATAGTGTCCAATCTAAGTGAAATTTATGGAGGCTCTTAAATCATCACTATATCTTCAATATGTAATTAATAAAACTTAAATATGCTAAAGCAATTATATATCTTCAAAATAAAGATTATTGCAGCTTGTTAGCGGGAGCTGAGGTAGGGAGGCATGATAGGCTCAAATCCACCCAGAATAAAAAAAAAACTTTGATTATTAGTATCGGTCACACTTAGGAGTTAGGAGTGTACTCGGGCCGGGTGGCCTGACCAGGAACCGGCCTGGAACCGGCACTGTGCTGAACCGGCCCGGCCTGGTGACCGGTCCAGGTTGGCCCGGCCTGGCTGTTCCCGGTGCGGGCTCGGGTCACCCAAAAGCCGAATCGGCCCTGCCGGTTCGGGCCCGGTTCCGGGCTTTTTAATTTTTTTTTCAATTTTTTTAACTTTTCGGGTTGGGCTGGGTATTTTGGGCCATTTAGGGTGGTTTGGGGGTTGGGGGGTGGGAGGGGGATTAATTAGGAAAAGGAAAAAAAAAATTGACCCGAGGCTCGGTCCGGCCTGGACCCGGACCGGACCCGGTGGCTACCCGGACCGGTCTCTGGCCCACCTATTCAGAACCGGCGGCCCGCCCGGGCTTAGGCCTGACCCGGACCCGGTCTGGCCCGAATCCACCCCTAGTCAGACTCAAGTTTACGCTCCTCCCTATCCTCTCTCTTACTCAAGTTGTCTATGTTCGGCCATGAAACTGGTTTCTCTTTTTGAACTATGTCACCCCAATCATCCTTCTCTTGAATCCCTCCGTCTTATTTCTTGTTTATGATCATACCACCATGAAACTACTAATGAACAAGGCCGGTCCTGAGGAAATGAAGACTCTGTGCAACAAAAATAATTGTGTCTCCTTTTCAAAATTTCAACACAAGGTAAAAAAATCGAACCGAAACTGCACCGACTCAAACGGGACTCGAAAGTCGGGACTCGAACATAAATCGGTTTAATGAAGGTTTTTTGAGTTATAAAATCGGTTCAAACCGAACCAACCCGATTTTTATTAAGAGGTATTTTTAATTATTTATTTTGTAGAACAAATAAGTAATATAAAGCTTGTACATCCTTATTTCAACAATTAGCTGATTCGGTCCAATGGGTTGATGTTTAGAGATCAACGTGCATGATTTTATTTTCACCTGGGTTCGAATCCCGCATGCCTCGCTTCTTAACTTTTTAGTTTCTAAAGCTTAAGATTCCCACACCGATGAAAACGAAGGATTTAGTACTCCTTGGTTCCTATATATACGCTCCACCTCTAAGGATGTTTTTACTTGGACTGTAATTCCTCCCAGACCAGACCATACCAGACTTGGATAGTTATAAAAATACAAAGAAACCAGACCAGATCAGACCAGACCAGCAAATTACAGTCCAAGTAAAAACATCCTAAGAAATACTACTCCCTTCGTCCCCTATTGTTTTGCAAACATTTTTTTGTCAATCAATAAAAAAGTCAATGCTCTCTATCGATAAATAATTCCATTTTTAATAATTAAAATTAAATATTCAGAAACTATATTAATATCTCTTCAAAATTGTAAATTCCAAATTAGAATATTATTAAAAATTGACATCCTAATTAAGCAAATAAAATGAAATTATTTGACCAAGAAAAGTCAAATTAGCAAATCAATTTGGGACGAAGGTAGTAGTATATTACTACAAAAAAATTTGGGCTCTTCCGATTTTTTAGGCCTTGTGCGGTTGGACACCCTACACACCCTCAGGGCCGGCTCTGCTAATGAATGGTACGTGACAGTATTTGCCGCAAATACAAGTCCCATTTTTATCCACTCTCTTTACATTGATCATATGTTGGACATTATTTCTTAAATCAACCAGGTTTATATATATATATATAGGTAGATTCTATGGTACCCATAAGGTACCATATTTTCGTCAACATGGAACAATCGGAATGTTTCAGTTGAATTATTTAAATCTAAATTAAAAACGATACTAGTATAATCATTTGGACCAATCAATTGAATGATAGGTACGATACCCCAAAATGGGTACCGAAGTTGTCACCATATATATAGGTAGTGGTCCTAGTTCCTCGCGATCAAGTGATTGTAATCATTAAAATTTAGCGGGGATTCATCGATGCCTCGATGAGTACGAATTACCAAATATGGGAAAAATTAAAACACCTAATATAAGATTAGTATAAGTTTAATTTTTCATTAAAAATAGTACTGTATATAGTACGGATTAGAAAATAAGCTTTTGCAAGAATCATTTTGTAATGAATGTAACTTTTCCATTCAAAAAGGTAGAGTTTTGTTGGCATTTCTCTTAACTTTTCTATTTTTTTTTGTCTAAGCATTAAGATACTCTACTTTTTTGTCATGTAATTTGCGGTTCAATCAATAAGCTCAAGTGTACGTCACTTCACTCATGCAAATATTCTAAAATTTTTACTTTTATAGAGCGCACATGCATGACAACACACTACGTATCTCTCTTTCGTAATCCCAATTATGATTTTGTGTGCACATATTAGTTGTCCAAAGAGGTTTAACC